CCCCATTAGGCAATGTTAGGACTGGGCTAAGTTTACCCCCTCTACTACAGGTACATGTAGTACCATCTGCCCTACAATGCCTGAATGTGTTGGTACATGTACTTACCTTACAGATGGGACAGAGGGAGAAACCGAAGGAGATGCGAGGTCCGACCCACTTCCTCTCCAGAACATTCCTGCAGCAGTGCTGGTGAAACACGTGCCCACAGATCAGCTGGGAGGGAAAAAACATCATTTCAAACTCTGTTTGCTTGTGTTAATTGTTTGATTGAACATTTTTTCCTGAAAATAGTCAAACGAGATAGATATAATTCAATGATCAAAGAAGTTTGGACCAAAAGTACACTCTTCTGATGTTAGGAACATCTAAGTCATTCTTCCAGTTCTTGATGCAAACAATTATTTTAATTAAATGCTGGCAGTGACGTAACAGTAAGCCAGTTCAGGAACCAGTTCGTGACTAGTACATACAGTTGAAAGTTATTGATGTTTGCCAGAAAAGACCTGTATTATTTACCTGGATGTTTAAACTTTTTCCGTTTGTTTGTTTGTTTGAACCAGTTTGTTTACCAACGAGAAGCTCAAATCGGCCTGAGGCTGCTTTTCATTGAGGTACAATGTACAATGTTAAGAAACCAGACAAGAGAGTGGAACGAACTTGAGCCTGGTGTGGCGGAGGCGGGGTCCCTCGCCCAGTTCAAATCTGGACTGGCGAGGACCCTACTGCATTGAGTCGCCCCTACACGTCTTGTATATATGTGTATATATATGTCCTACTAACACACTACATGCACTGTCTTGTCCTTTACACCAACAGACTCAGTTATTTACGTTCCGTAGTGTCCCCTCCTTTAGTTACCCTTGTTTTTATTTGTACCGGTCACTTGTTTTGTAGTTAACAACATGTGCAGCTGCTAGTAATCCAATGTAAATTGGGCTCAGCAGTACTTAAGATGATGATGATGATGAGAGAGCACTACTAAGTATGAGTACCTGTATGGCCGGAGCAGCAGACAGAGCCTCGGTGAAACACACCATACACATGTCGTCAGCGTCCTGTTTCAGAGTCACCCCGTCCGCTCCCTTACAGCCATGCAGGCACGGCAGGCAGGAAACCTCATCCTTCACACCCCCGCACGGGTGCCCACATGGTAGGGTCCGGGTGCAGGCATTTCTGGCATGCTCCTGAGAGAGAGAGGCAACATGGACGGTTGGTATTAAAAGACCCAATGTTGCATTTCAAAACATTTTTTTTTTAGTATAATGACAATGATAATGAACGTTATTGCATATTTACTCCCCACATGTTAGATAACTGAGGTACAAGTATAGAAGGAACAAGTGTTTGTTTGTTTGTTTGTTTGTTTGTTTATTTGCATATAATCAGAGAGAAGAACAATAAAATGAACATATTACACTGTAACAGTAAAATAGGATATGCAGGGGAAAGATACGTTGCTGTGCTACATCTATATCTACAGGATCTCTTCTCTCTTTAATTAATTTTTGAAACATGTATGAAAAAATTTAGATAGTTTTTCAATTACATAACACAATACAGAATCACTGTTATAGTACCTACCTGGCACATGGGATCTGCACACACATTCCTTATTAAATAACTATTCAAACACTTTTCCTACAATACAGAATCACTAACTCAGAGCCTTCTTAAATTTAATTTAGCCTCTGTAGCAGGCTTATAGAACTGGGGGTTTGGTGGTCTTCGGCTGTTTTCTGATTAGCCTAGTTCTAAAAACGAGGGTAATTCAACCAGGCTGGCTATGCTGTATGCAATCAGAAAATAGAAGCCCCCAAAGACCACCAAAACCCCAGATTTCGGTAGACATGTTAAATTTGATTCCTGTTATGGCTAAGTACCAGCACGTCGGCAGAATGTACTGCGCCTGTGCAAAACCCTGCTTTATCACGGTTTTGGTTGGATTTTTGGTCAATGTTGCATTAGAATTTTGCCTGTTGCAAAGGAAATCTTTTCCGACATATGTTTGTAAACTACAGATGGGATGTTAACCTTATATGCACGAATACGACCTTATATGAGACTTTCTTCCGTTAGTCCTAATAAGTATGTACAATACATTACGAGTTTCGCGCAGGTGCAGTACGTTCTGCCGACGTGCTCTAAGTACCCACCTGGCACTCTGGGTCTGCACACACGTTCCCTATTAGATAAGCATTCAGAAGTTTTTCTATGATACATTATGTACTCTGTGCCTTCTTATAACTTTGAAAAATATCTTTGTTGATTTTCCTATAGTACCCATCTGGCACTCAGGGTCTGGACACTCATTCCCTATTAAATAACTATTCAAACACTTTTCCGACAAATATACAGAATCTCTGTTACACCAGGTACCTATAGAACTCAGGGTCAGCACAAGCGTTCCCTATTAATTAGCAATTCGAACACTTTTCCCACATACAATACAATACAATACAGTTCTTCAGTTCAGTTCAGTTCATCCTTCAGGTGACACCA